GCGGCGCCCGTCGGCAGATGGTACAGCCATCCCGCGGCGGCGGCGTGCCCCGAAAAGCGAACGCCCGGCGACGGCTGCACCTGGAGCATGGGCGCGAACACGGCGCGCGTCGTCCGCGGGTCCCAGCTCTACGAGCTCGGCCTCAACGCGTCGGCCCTGACGTGCGATCTCGGCGACCTCCCGGACGGGCAGGTCGGACCGAGCTGCGCGCCGGAGGCAGCGCAGATCGCGCAGAACGCCGCCGTCATGCGGCGCGCGCTCGCCGCCGCGCCGCTCGCGCCCTGGACCTGCGGCTAGGCTTGGAACTTAGACGGCGCGATGGGGGGGGGGGGGGCGTGGGATGCTTGGCTTTCGGAGGGCGCCGCCGTCTACTTGGCGGCGGCGTCGCGCTTCTTGGAGGCCTTGAGGCGCGTGGACAGGGTCTGGATGAAGCCCGTGGAGTTCTGGGGCACGAAGCCGCCCTCCTCGTCCATGGACACGATCTTCATGTCGTAGAGGCTGTGGGGGCTCGACCGGCCCCGGGGCATGACGTGGCCCTTGTGGAGCTCGAGCGCGACGGTCCCCGACACGGGCTTCTGCGCGTGCTGCATGGCCGCGTCGATGAACTCCATCTCCGGCGAGAACCAGTAGCCGTTGTAGACGAGCTCCGCGAACTTGAGGCTCAGGGAGTCGCGGAGCCGCATGACCTCGCGGTCGATTGTCAGCGTCTCGAGGTCGAGGTGCGCCGCGGCGAGCACCGTGCCCCCGGGCGTCTCGTAGCAGCCGCGCGACTTCATGCCCACGTAGCGGTTCTCGACGATGTCGACGCGGCCGACGCCGTGGACGCCCGCGAGCTCGTTGAGCCGCGCGAACAAGGGCAGCGGGTCGGCGCCGAGCGACGCCGTCACGGTTTTGCCCGCGGCGTCGAACTCGCGGAGCGCGACGGGCGCGCCGGCCTCGAAGTCGAGCTCGATCTTCGCGGGCGCGTCGGGCGTGTCCTTGAGGTCGCGCGTCTTCTTCTTGAGCACGAGGCCCGGGTACTCGTTCGCGACGCCCGGGAACGCCGGGTCCTCCAGCTCGCCCGACTCGTAGGAGATGTGCATGATGTTCTCGTCCTCGGAGTAGGAGTGCTTCTTCGTCTGCGACACGGGGATGCCGTGGAGCGCCGCGTAATCCAGCAAATCCTGGCGGCCCTCGAATTTCGCGAGGTACTCGGGCTCGCGCCACAACGTCACGCACTGGAGGTTCGCGTCCATGCCGAGGTAGCAGAGCTCGAAGCGCACCTGGTCGTTGCCCTTGCCGGTGGACCCGTGGCTCACGTACTCCGCGCCCTCGCGCCACGCGAGCTCGACCTGCTTCTTGGCGATGCACGGCCGCGCCATCGCCGTGCCCAGCAGGTAGCGGCCCTCGTAGAGGCAGTTGGCCTTGATGCACTCGTAGACGTAGTCCCGGATGAACTCGCGGCGGAGGTCGACGCACTCGAAGGCGTAGGCGCCCGACGCCTCCGCCTTGGCCTTGATCTCCTCGATCGCGCCGGCGTCGACGACGTCGTCCTGGCCCAAATCCGCGATGTAGGCGCAGACCTCGTAGCCCTTCTCGTGGGCGAGGTAGGCGAGCTGCGTCGACGTGTCGAGGCCGCCGCTGTAGGCGAGGACGATCTTGGGCTTGCTCGGGTCCGGCTCGCGGAAGCGCGCGCTCACGGACGTGTCGCCGAGGTTGACGCTCGACAGGCAGCGTTTCTGCGCCGACGCACGGGCGATGACGGATGCGCGGCGGAGTGCGAGCATGCTCTCGACTTTGCAGCTCGTCAAGGCGAGGTGCTGCTCGAGGCCGAGGTCGCCAACAAGACGACGACGCAATCTTCACCACGCTTCACCATTGGCCTCGAAGCCTCCAGTACTCTCAGAAGGCTCTCAGTCGTCGGTTACTCCAGGGCGACGCGCGCGACGTCGGCGTTCGTCGGCGCGAACCAGGCTCCCGGGTCGCGCCGGCTCCGCTCGCGGAGGACGTCCGCCTCCGGCGGCGACGGGAGCCGGTACGCGAGCGGCGAGAGCGGCGCGCCGAGGTGCTCGCCGCGGACGTCGCGGCGCTCGTCGACCTTGAAGTCCGTGAGCTTGCCCGCGTACCACGTCTTGAAGGCGTCGCCCCGGACGCAGTAGGCGTCCGCGTCGTCCTCGAACTCGCGGCGCTGGTGCCGCACCTCCTCCTCGGCGCAGCGCCGGACCCATCGCAGGTCGTCGTCGAAGCCCGGCGCGTCCTCCGGCGGCGCCGGCGGCTCGTCCGCGGGGTCGTAGAAGCGCTGCTTCAGGCGCTCGTGCTCCATGGACAGCGCGTAGGCCGCGGAGATGAGGCCGGCCGACGAGCACGCGCGCGCCTCCCGCGCGAGACGCGCGAGGACGCCGGGCCCCAGCGACGCGTGCGCGACGCCCTGGACCCGCTCCAGCGTCGCCAGGCCGCCGACGGAACACGAGATCCAGCCCGCGACGTCGTCGGCGAGGACCTTCCACGGCGCGTCCGCGTCCGGACCCCGGAGGATCGCCGTGACCATGGCCCAGCCGTCGACGACCGCCGCGACGACGGCGCGCTCGCCGTGTCGCAAACACCCGAGCGACCGCGACCGCGTGGACCGGCGGTTTCGGACGTGGACGCCTTTGGGCGATCGTTCGAGGAACGCCGCCGTCAACGCGTAGAGCCCGCCGACGCGCTCGCCCACGCGCACGCGGCCGGGCGCCTGCTCCGGCGCGACGTCGTCGTCGTCGTCCGCCTCGGGCTCCGGCGACGCGCGCAACACGACGTCGACGCCGGTCGCGACGCCGTCGACGACCTTGACGGGCGTCGCGCCGGGCACGAGCTCCACGGAAGACGACCCGGCCTCCGACGCCGACTCGGACGCGTCGGAGCGGCGGGCGTCGTCCCGCAGGCCGTCGACGCTCCGCGGCGACGGCGGCGCGCCGCGCGGCGCGCGGCGCCGCGGCCCCGGCGCCCGGTCCCAGGGCGCGAGCTCGACGAGCACGGCCATGATCTCGTCCTCGGGCCGGCCGTGGTACGCGGCCATCGTCGCCAACGGCACGCCGTTGTCGTGCTCGCGGACGAGCCGCGCCTCCTCGCGCTGGCTCCAGCGGGACCCGCGGCGCGACAGGCTCCGGTCGGAGGCCCAGGGCTGGAGCCGCGCGAGCCGCTCGCGGACGTCGCGCGCGCTCCGCTCGTGGCCCGCGCACATAGTTCCAAAGGGGACGCCCGCCGCGTGCTCCCGGCAGAGCCGCGCGTCCTCGTCGGCGGTCCAGGCGCCGCCCTGGCGCGACGTCAAATGGAGGTTCTCCTGGGCGCGCGCCTGCGCCGACCGCCGGCGCAGGCGGCTCGCGACGACGGGCTCGGGCTTCGGGGCGACGAGGACCATCGCGTGAGTGGAGTGCCGACGGGCCGCGCGCTGATCTTACGAGACGCTAGTGTCGTGCCGACGGGCCACGCGCTGATCTTACGAGGCGCTCTCACGCTTTGGAGAGCATCGATGAGCAGCCCCAATAACCGATGAAATAGGCGCTAGTTGAACCGGTGCTTTCCCGCTTGTTGAACTCGCTGCTCGACGGCGGCAGGCGCGGCGTCTGAGGCCTCGTTGGAAGCGCCGCATACACAGCCCGGACCGATTCGATCCCGCCATCGTGGTCGTCGTCGCGCACCTGTGACGCGCGCAACGCGCCAAAGCTTCCGCTTCCGCGCGTCCGCCGGCCGCGCCGCCGACGGACGAGAGCATGGCCGAGCTCGTGAGCGAGGCGGAGACGAAGCGGCCGCCCGGCCGCCTCAAGGTGAACATCCTCAAGTGGCACGCCGTCGCCCGCTGGACCTGGGGCGACGACGTCGACGGCGACGTCTGCGGCATCTGCCAGATGCCCTTCGAGGGGTGCCCTCCCGGCGTGCTCTATCCCGGCGACGGCGCGCCCGTCGTCTGGGGCAAGTGCGGCCACGCCTTCCACCTCCAGTGCGTGAGCCAGTGGCTGAGCTCGAAGAACTCGTGCCCCATCTGCCGCCGCGAGTGGGAGTTCGAGTCGAACAGCGCGGTCACGGCGGCCAACGCCGCGCCCGCGCCCGCCGCCGCCGCGCCCGCGCCGAGCTAGGGGGTTTTAGGACGTCGTTTTACGTGTCCGCGGCGTCCGCCTCGGGCGCCTCGTCGCCGCCCTCGTCGAGCGTGGCGTAGTCGGCCTCGAGCTCCGCGAGCCGCGCGTGCGCCTTCCGTTGGCCGACGGCGCAGAGCTCGAGCACGCCCGCGAGCGTCTTCTCGTCGCGCGCGTGCGTCGCAAGCTGCGCGTCGAGGCGCCGGAGGCGGCCCTCGAGCTCGAGGGCCTCGAGCCGCGCGTCCTCCCACGCGCGGAGGTCGCCGTCGAGCGCCGACGGCCCGCGGTCCGGCCCGTGGTCCGCGCAGTAGACGCGGTCCGGGTGCTCCACGAGGGGCGACAGGCCCAGGCGCACGTCGCGGGGCACGCCGACCTCGCGGCCGACGCGGTACGCGACGCCCGCCGGGCCCTCGCCGTCGCCGCCGGCGCGCTGTTTCTGGTCCTCGCGCTCGCGGTGCTGGCCCGCGTTCGCGCGCGCCGTCCGCCGCGCGCGCTTCGGCGGGCCCTGGTCGCCGTCGTCGTCGCCGGCCGGCTCGTCGTCCGGCGCCGACGCCGGGTCGAGCGCCCTGCGCCACGCCTTCGCGGCCGCGTCGCGCGAGCAGCCCAGGGGCGGCGCGTCGGACGCCCGCCGGTCCAGGAGCGCCGCGGCGAGGTCCGCCGTGAGGCCCGCCCGGCGCCAGGCCTCGACGACGGCCGCGCCCTCGGCGCGGCAGTTGCCCCGGAGCGCCTCCAGAACGTCGCGCCACTCGCTCTTCGACGCCGCCGCCTCGCGGTCGTGGCGCGCCCGCGCGCGCTCGAGGGCCGCGCGCTGCGCCTCGAGGGCCTCCAGAGCCTTCTCCGCCGCGGCGACGAGCCGCGTGTTCGGAAGCGTCGGAAGCGTCCCGTCGTCGTTCGGCGCGGCCGCGGGCCGCGGCGGCGGCGCCTTGCGCTTCGGCGGCGCCCGGGGCTTGGGCGCCCGGGGCCGCGGCGCCGGCGGCCGCGCGAGGGGCGGCGGCAGCGGCGGCGGCGCGGCCGCGGCCGCCGGCGCGGAGGCCGCGAGCGGCGGCGGCGGCGGCGGCGCGGGCAGCTGGAAGTGGGCGAGGTGCTGCGGCGGGAGCGGCAGGGGCACGGGCGGCGGCGGCATCATGCCCGCGAGGCACCGGGGCGCCCCGGCGGGCGCGTAGGCCGCCATCTGCGGCATGAAGTGGCGCGGGAACGCGTACCCGGGCGGCGGCCGCGGCAGCGGCGGCATGCCCCGGAGCACCGCCGGCGGGCGCTCGAGGCCCGCGGTCGTCGCGAGCGGCTGGGTCGTGCCCACGAGCGCGTAGGGCGGCGGCGGCATCAGCGTCGGCGGAGGCACGACCTGGGGGCCGTTCTGAGGGACTTCCATAATCGCCGTCGGCGCTCCGTCGAAGCTCGTTTTTGCCGGTCGTGGAGGAGACCTTCTTAGGACTGAGGATGTGGAGGAGCGGGGTGCTGAGGACTTGTACGAGGTCAGTTGTTGGCACGCCGAGTTGGCCGGGCTTGTCTACGCCCAGATTTGGCCACTCAGCAACCCTGATCTCTCTCTCTCTCTTCACACACCTGCAACATGCTCCCCGGACGGACGCAGTCGGGCGCGCATCCCCTTCAATAACTTGGTCAACATGCAGACGATGGGCGCTCGGTAGCAGCCCATGAGAGCCATCCCTGGTGACGCAATGCATGCCTCTCCCACGCAGCGATCGCTTTCCGATCGATAGGCATAGTGCGGCCGACTAGCATGCCGTGATGGACGCCAAGGACGAGGGCAAGGACGACGCCTTTGACGCCAAGGGCTGCAAGGCCGACGGCAAGGCCGAGCGCGAGGACGGCGGCCTCGTCGAGGCCGTCTGCGAGTACTACGCCTCGAGCCCGCGCCTCGACGCGGCGCTCCGCGACTTCGTCTTCGACGCGGCGCGCGCCGCGCCGCCCATCGCGCGCGGCGACGAGTACGCCCACGAGCACGCGGCGCTCCACGAGCGCTACGTCGCGCTCGTCGACGCGCAGCTCGAGGACTTCCTCGCCGCCCGCGGCGCGACGGCCGCCGCGTTCCGCGCCGCCGTTGTGGCCGACGAGCTCGGCGGCGAGGCCGCGGCCGCGTTCCTTGTCGCGGCCGCGTCCTTCGACACGTTCGCGGACCTCCTCGCGGACGCGCAGCGGGGCGAATGGGCCGGCGCGGGCTGCGTGACCTACGCGTAAGACATGCGCGACCTCCGCGTAACGTCCGCCCGCGAAGCGAGGGGTGGTTAGCCGCGACTTCGCCTAGAGCGCGGAGCAGGCGACGGCGATGGCGAGCGCGGACAGCGAGGCGACGGCGGCGACCTTCTCCGTCTGGAACTTGGACTCGCAGGCGAGGAGCGCGTCCGGGAGGAGCTCCGTGAGCGCGATCCACAGCATCTTCTCCGCCGCGAAGCCGACGAAGGCGAAGGACGCCGTGCCGAGGCTCGCGGAGAAGAGGAAGGCCAGCGGCGCGGTCAGCGCCTGGGGCGCCGTCGCCGCGAAGGCGACGAAGACGGCCGCGAGCGGCGCCTTGCCGCGGCCCCGGAGCACCGTCGCCGTCGCCAAGCCCCTCGGGCACGTTGTGCGCGAGGATGGACACGAGGGCCGCCCGGCCCGCGCGGATGGAGTTGCCGTAGGCCGCGCCGAGGACGACGCCCTCGGCCGCCGCGTGCGTCGCGAGCGCGAAGGCCAAGCGCGGCGACCGTCGAGTGGCCCGCCGCCGCCGCGGCGGGCGCCTGCGCCGCGGACCACTTGGACTTGGACCGCGTCCGCGGCGCGCGCGTCGCGTCCTCCGGGTGCTCCACGCCCAGGAGCCGCGGCAGGACCACGGACGTCAGGATGCCGATCACGAAGCCCGCCGCGCACGCCAATTCCGAATCTTTCGCGGCGTCGACGGCCAGAGCCACGGCGATGGACAGCACGGCCCCGCCCGCCGCCGCGTTCGAGTACTTCGTGAGCGACGGCGAGTGGGCGAGGAAGACGCAGGGCAGCGCGCCCACGGCCGCGAACGACGCCGCGCACAGCGCCTCGCCCGCGACGAGGCCCACGGACGCCGTCTCCGCGGACACGCCCAGCGACCCGAAGACCGTCGACATGAGCGACGGCGCGGCGTCATTGATGCAATCGCCGCTCGCGCACGTGTCCTCCCGCGGCGGCCGGGGCCTGGGGGATGATACGGCGCCGTCGTCGTGCTGGAAGCCCTCGAGCACATGCCCTATGACGTACGCGGCGAGCGCCGCCGCGCCGCCGTTGACGACCATGCCCAGGGCTGAATCCCAGGCGGGCTGCGCCGTCAGGCGGGCCTTGGCCGCGCCGAGGGCCACGAGCGTGAACGTCGTCACCTGGGCAGGAAAAGGGTGCGAAATTCCCAACTTCAAAGGCTCCTATCTCGGTCGTTTTCCGCTCGTTTCGGCTGATTTTTGGACGAGCGATCATTTCTCGGAGCGCTCTCGAAGCGTGGGTGCTGTTTCCGAAACACGCGCGCGCGGAAAACTCACGTTGAAGCGACGTTGAATCACCCTTTTCCTGCCCTGGTCGTCACGAGACAGGACGCGCCGAACATGAGCTCCGGCGTCGGCGCGGCGGCGAGGGACACCGTCGCGTAGTAGGCCACGAGGGGCGTCGCGCCGAAGATGGCGAAGGACGCGGCCGTGGTGACGCCCTTCTTCGCCGCCAGACTCAGGCCCTCCTCGGGTGCCGCCTCCTCGGCGGCCGCGTCCGTCCACTCGTCGGGAGGAATGAGCTGCAGCCGCGTCATCATCGTGTGCGCGACCAGCACGTCGTCGACGGTGGCCAGCGCGTCGACGCACCGCGTCGCGTCGGCCCGCGCGAGGCCCGCGCGCGCGTAGGACTCGACGAGCGCGGCCTTCTTGGCCTCGGCGCCGCCGTCTTTGAGCTCGTCCTTCTCCCGTCGCCACTCCGACGTGACGTACTCGTCCTCGGCGCGCTCGCTCAGGTAGTCGCCGATGCCCATGGAGAGCGCGTCGGCGACGAGGTTCGCCGCGCCCATGAGGAGCACGAGGCCCGGGTGCGCGCGCGCGCCCGCGACCGTCGCGACTATCGCGAACGTCGTGATCTGCGGAGGGGGGGGGGGGGACGGTCCGGCGCAGGTGCGCGCGCGGAAAACGGTGCGGGCGCGGGCGTCGCGCGATGCCGTCGAGGCCGCCGAAGACGAGGGACTTGACGTAGGTGCCCGCGGTGTTGGCCTCGTCGGCCATATCGCCGTCCGCGCGCCGGCGCCGAGCCGCGCGCGGTGGTTGGTGCGGTCGCGCGCCGGCGCCCGCGGGTTCCCGCGCGCGCGCTGGCGGTGGCGCGCGGCGCGACGAGCTCGGCCGGCGAGCGTCGCCGGCGCGTCGTCGGCGCGCGAGGAGTCGAGCGACGCAGCGTGGGCCGAGGCGAGATCAAGGCCGCGGGTGCGACTGCAAGGACAATAAAAACTTACGTGTCAGCACCACCGCCATCTAAAGGCTCTGCTTGCCGCTTAAAAAAACACGCTGCGATCCAAAGCGTCACATCCTCAGCTTAAAAGCGATCGTAGTCCGTCGCCTGTGGATTGAAAAAAGTGCAGAAAATGCAGCTCGCCCAGCTCGTCCTCGCCTGCGCCCTCGCCACGTCCTCGGCCGCCGAGTCCACGTCCTCGACCGCCGACAGCTGGTACAAGAAGGTGCGCGCCCTCCCTTCAATCCCCGCGCTGCCCGCCGTCCGCGCTGCCCGACCCCCGCGCCTTTCCCTAGGGCAACCCCAGCAAGGACTGCGACTGGGTCGCCAAGTACAGCGAGAAGCGCTGCTCCGTCAAGGGCTACGTCGGCGACTCCACGGAGAAGGTCACGGCGGAGGAGGGCTGCCCCGACGCGTGCGGCTTCGGCGCGAACCCCTGCATCGACCCGGACCTCGGCTACGCGCCGCTCCGCGACGACCTGCCCAACGTGCCCTGCGCCGACGCCGACGCCCAGTCGGCCTACGACGTCACGGAGGGCTCCGTGGGCCTCATGGACCCGGCGCTCGACCCCATCCCGGACTACAACGCCGCGGGCATGTGCACGGTGAACGTGCACTGGCACATCGGCGCGGAGCACCGCTCCGAGGGCCAGTACACGGAGGAGTACGCCTTCGACCACCCGGGCCTCGCGACCTACGAGCGCCGCCTCCAGAGCGAGGACGACCTCGAGGGCCTCACGGACGCGCAGAAGGAGGCGCGCAAGCTCGCGTCCGGCAGCCTCCGCGTGGGCCACATGTGCAAGAACGCCTACGACCTCAACAACGACGACCCGGACGGCATCGTCGCCAACGAGTACGACTGGCAGTACTGCCACGACATGCACGTCGGCCTCACGTACGAGTTCCACTGGCCCCACTCGTCCATCGGCGCGTGCCAGACCGAGTGGCAGTACCAGTACCACTTCCTCGACGGCGTCCTCTGCGGCGCCACCATCGGCGGCCTCGACATCGCCACGGCCGCCGACGCCCTCATGTCGCGCGCCGTCGGCATCGGCGTCGAGGGCCAGGTCTTCACCATCGTCAACTCCGACGACCCGAGCTCGTCGCCGTACCTCCGCCCGACGTGGGACGCGCTCAACTCCTGGGACACGGAGCTCGCGACGGACTACGCCTACTACCAGGGCTCGACGACGGGCGACGCCGCCGACAACGAGATCTGCCGCGGCACGGGCGGCCTCGTCACCTGGCACACGGACCGCGAGTGCCACCTCGTCGAGGCGAAGACGATCGACAACCTCTGCCGCCTCATGGTCGTCGTCTCCGCCGACGACATGACGCCGGACACGTACCCGCACGGCGCGCGCGAGACGACGACCGCCGAGCTCTCGGACACGCCCTACACGCCCTAGGACGGCGCCGACCGCGCGCGCGCAACCGCGCCGCCGCCCCGCCCCCGACGCTCGACGCTCGACACTCGACACGGACCGACGACCGCGCCGCCCTCGACCGAGACAATTATAGAATATAGTATGACCTGCAACGCACCGCAGCGAGCCGTCGGTGTTACGCGGGCCTACGAAGAGCGGCCGCCGGCGGCCCGAGAGGCGGCGGAAGATCGCCGCGGCGGCGCGCCGCCCGGGGGGGATCAAGGGTGGGGGGAAAGGGGGGGTCGAGGAAAATGTGAGGCCGCGCTCAGCGCTGGCGCCCCGTGAACTCCGTCGTGCCCGGTCGGCGCTCGGGCTGGTAGACCTTGCGCTCCTCCTCGGCGTAGTTGCGCTGGTTCTCGTGGCCCGCGGACGTCTGCGGCCGGTTCACGTTGACCGCGGAGACCGCGTGGGGTCCCAATGAACTGCCGTCGTCGTCGAAGTCGTCGTCCACTAGCGGGTGGGGCCCCTGGATGGACGTCGCCTGGCTGCTCTCCTCGTAGCGCGGGTGGATGGACCGCTGGTCGTCCAAGAGCTGCTCGAGCTTCGACACGACGAGCGAGATCGAGCCCTCGAGGCGGTCGATGCGGGCCGCGAGGCGCGCCTCCGTGCGCTGGTGCTGCTCGAAGGTGACGCCCGGCAGCGCGAGGCCGTCGCCGGCGTGGCCGGGCACGCCGGAGTGGTCGCTGAGGCGCCGCTGGCCGTCGTCGCTGAGGTGGTCCGACGCCGTGCCCGGCCGGAAGCTCGGGTCGTCGCCGAGACCCTCCTCGCCGAGCGTCGCGTCGTCGTCGGGCGCGTAGGTGCGCTCGTCGTGGTCCAGCACGAGGATGTCCGCCTTGGGCTTGCCCTGGCGGTTCGCCGCGGGCTCGGACGATCCCCGCGGCGGCGACCCCGGGGCCAGCGACGCGCCGTCGTTGAACGCGAGCACCTCCGCGCCGTCGCCGCCGGCGGACGGGTTCTCCGCGGGCCGCGGCGCGACGACGACGGGGCCCAGGCCCTTGACGACCTTGGGCGGCTTCTGCACGGGCGCTAACCGGTGCTTGCCCGTGTCGACGAAGCCGCCGGCGGGCGCGACGGCGCCGGACCCGTAGCCGCCGCCGCCGCCGGAGTCGGGCGTGCCCGCGCGCTGGCCGAACAAAGCCGCGCCCCGCTCGTCGAGCGTGCCGCCGTTGCCGTAGGCGGGCAGGCCGTGGCTCGCCTGGAAGCCCGCGGAGGAGCCAAAGTTCTTCTTCCGCTCGCGCTGCTGCTCGAAGATCGTGCCCTTCCCGAAGCCCTTGCCGCCCTGGGGCTGGTAGTTCGCCGTCTTCCGCATCGTGCGCCGGCGGTTGCCGTCCTTGGCGTCCGCGGAGTCGTCGTAATTGCCGCCGTGGGGCATCGCGTGCGCGAGCGGCGCCATGCGCGCGTAGTAGGGCGACTGGCGCTCGTCGAACTGCTTCGGCTCGACGTAGTTGCCCTCGAGGAGGTCCAGGAGCTTGCCGTCGCGCCAGGCGCGCTTCATGTTGTGCTTGAGGAGCATCCAGTGGCCGAACGCGCGCACGCCCGACGACAGCGTCCGGTAGTGCGCCGACTCGAGGATGGACACGAACTCCTCGGCCTGCATGGAGTAGACCAACGAATGGGTCAGCGTCTTCGCCGTGTAGTGGCGCACGCGCCGCCGGCCGTCGACGAGCAGGGTGCAGACGTCCTTGCCGACGATGTTGTTGTGGCGGTCCGTGATGATCTCCTTCGACTCGATGCTCGAGTCGTCCTGGTCGAAGACGACGGCCTTGCCCTCGACCATGATGAAGAGCACGTCGTTCCAGGAGATGTCCTGGTGGACCATGGTCTCGTTGGCCATGAAGGAGATGCAGGACACGTGGAGCGACAGCTCGCGGACCATCATCTCCACCTCCCGCATGCACAACAACGCGTCCTTGCCGCGCGCGCAGACGATGCGCTCGTGCTCGACCATGGTCTCCGTCTCGGGGCTGAAGTCGTCGGTGTAGCGGATGTCGTAGGACATGCAGTCCTTGCCCACGGCCTCGATGACCGCGGGTCGTAAAAACAAATCCTTCTTGTACTGCTTCGACGCGTACTTCTGCTTGATCTTGCACTCCGTGCCCTTCTTGATGTCGAGCGTGCGGAAGATGGCGTAGCGAAAAAAGGGGATGGCCGTGATATACCGGCCGATCTCCTCCTTGGCGATGGTCTGCTGCAGGCCCGGCGATAAAGCCAGCAGCATCTTCCGGTGGTAGACGTTGCGGAACATGCCCGCGGCGGAGACGAAGAACTCGCGGAGCTTCACGCGCATCTCCGTGGGGAACTTCTTCTCCACGGCGAAGGCGTTCAAATTGTCCACCGTGTTCTTGTACTCCATGGACGCCGGGTCGCTGTTGCCCAGGATGTGCGCGACCTCGCCGATCATGAACGACGTCACGATGTTGCCCGCGAGGCCCGCGATGACCGCTAAGATCATGATCCCCAGGTTCGGCGCGTCGGCGTCGCCCGTCAGCGCGCGCATGGACCAGTGGAGCGCCGAGAAGTACTCGACGGACTTGCCCCGGTCCGCCCGAATGATCTCGAACTCGAGGCACGCGTGGTCCTCGCGGTGCGATTTGTGCCAGTCTTTCGAGTGCGTGTAGTCGTCGCCCAGGACGCCCGTGACCGCGTCGGCCTCGAGGCACGGGCGGATGAGCATGCGCGCCGCGCAGGCGAACCAGTGGAGCACGACCACAATAATGAAGACGAAGCGGAGCACGGACAGCGACTTGAACGAGAGCTGGAGCCGCGACGCCCACCAGTTCAGCAGCCGGCCGATGCGGACGACGCGCAGGAGCTTCAACAACTTCAACACCTTGAGCGTCCGCAGGAGCCGGAACCGGTTGAAGGACTTGGACACGGAGAGCACGTCGTAGGGCAGGATGGAGACGACGTCGACCGCGAACCAGTTCTCCGCGTAGCCTGTGCCGAAACCAAATCTTCAACCCGACTTCAATATGAGCGTATTCGAATGTTTTGACACAAGCTCTTCGGCTGAGCTTCGAGAACTCGACGAGAGCGATCGATCCGTCCAAAAATCAGCCGAATCGACTTCGATTTGACCGAGCTAGAGAATTCTCAAGTTTGGTCAGGACCACCCAAACCAGTGGTTGGTTTCGGCACAGCATGTAGCGCTCCGCGATGACGCGCCGGTCCGTGATCCAGCAGCCGCTCTTCGCGTCGAAGACGGCCGTGTTGAAGTTGATGATCATGTCCGCGAGGAAGTAGCCGTCCACGAGCCGGTTCAGCACGAACATGGACCACATGAACGAGTTCCACCGCTTCACGCCGCGGACGGGCCAGAAGGGCACGACGTCCGCGTAGAACGCGAGTTCCGTGGGCGTGACGATGGCCGCGAAGGCGATGAAGGGCAGCATCAGACCCTCCCAGACCGTGAAGAAGAATCCTTCCGGGTTGATGACGGGGAACCAGCGGCTCGTCTGCACCGGGAAGTTCTCGTAGCCCCCGAAGTGCATGCCGCCGTACGAGCCCTTGCCGCGTTTCCGCTTCTCCCTCTTCTTGCCCGCGCTCACCTCCTTGAAGTTGTGCAGCATGTCGTCGGCCTTCGTCTTCTGGAGGCGCTCGATGCCCCCGATCTGCGTCTGGCGGCTCAGGATCTGCGAGAAGCGCTGCTTCTTCACGCGATTCACGCCGACGAAGTTGAGCGCCATGGCCGTGAGGCCCCGGGCGCGCGGCTCGCCCTTGACGTGCTTGCCGTGGGCGCCGCCGCCGCCCATGGCGATGCCGCCGCGGTGCGCCATGGGGTCCGCCGCGTCCTCCGTCTTGACCTCGCTGTCGGTCGCGTACTTGTCCTCCGGTCGCGGCGACACGCGGCTGAAGCGCTCCCGCGTCGGGTCCCGGTCCAGCGTGTAGGCCATGGCGTCCGTCGGGGCGCGCACACGGCGCTTCTCGAGCGGCGGCCGCGGTGCCGCGCCGCGGCCGGGGCGCGGCGCCGCCGGTCCCGACCGAGGCGCGAGCGCCGCCGCCGGCGGCGGAGCGCCGGGAGCGGCGCCGGGTACGCGGCCGCGGAGCGGCGGGGCGACGGGCGAGCGGTCGCGGTCTGCCGGGCCCGGGTCCCTAGGCCGACGAGGTCCGGGGGCGCCGCTGGACCATCTTCGACCGGCCAGAGAGGGCGCTGCCCACACCGGAAGTTGTTTTATTGCAACACATAAGATCTTGCTGTGCATCTGCTGTGCAAGGCAGCCCGCGTGCACCCAGCGCACGATGATGCGCGGAGCCTGACGGGCCCCTCGGCCGCCCATGGGCGGCGCCGGCTCCGTCGCGCGGCCGCCGGCGCCCGCGGCCTGGGGCGCCGGCGGCGACGTGCTCTGCGTCGAGCTCCGCGCGGCCACGGGCTTCCCGGCGGCGCCGCCGGCCGGCGGCGGCCTGCCCTTCGTCGCGCTGCGCGTCGGCGCGAGCGACGACGCGCCCGTCGCCGCGCGCTGGCCCCACGCGCGCCGCGCGGAGACGGCGCCCGTCTGGCGCGGCTGGCGGCCCCTGGGCGAGCCGGAGGGCTGCGCGGCGATTACCGTCGAGCTCTTCGAGGGCGGCGCGAGAGCGACGCTGGACCTCGTCGGCGCCGACGGCGCCGTCGCGCCCGGCGACGTCACCGCGTCCGTCGGCGGCTGCGCGCTCGTCTTCGCCGCGCGCGTCGCGACCTGTGTGCAAATCATCCAGTGAGCTGGGACGTCCCGACCAAACTTTGAAATTCTCTAGCTCGGTCAAATCGAAGTCGATTCGGCTGACTTTTGGACGGATCGATTGCTCTCATCGAGTTCTCGAAGAACGGCGGAAGTGCTCGGGTCAAAACATTCGAATACGCACACATTGAAGTCGGGTTGAAGATTTGATTTCCACACAGGTCGCGACAGCGGCGCCCAAGTGGTGCTTCGCGGTCCGCCACGCGGAGTCGGGCCGGAACCGGCGCGGGACCGGGGCGATTCGACGTCGCTTCAACGTGAGTGTGCCGCGCGCGCGCGTTCCGGAAACAGCATCCGCGCTTCGAGAGCGCTCCGAGATATGATCGCTCGTCCGAGCATCAGCCGAAACGAGCGGAAAAGCGGCCGAGAGCGGAGCCTCTGGGAACGTCTCACCCGTGTCCCGCCCAGGCTGGAACCGCGCGCTCGCGACGGGCGACGTCGTCGCGCTGCTGGGGACCATCGACCACGGCCTCACGCGCGCGGGCGTCGCCCAGGCGCGGGGCCTCGCGGACGAAATCGCCGCCGCGCGGTGCTCCGCGCGCGCGGGGTCGCTCGAGCGCGCGTTCGTCGACGCGTC